ATAGTGTTAGTTATAGGTTTTACAATGGGTAGTGGGAAGTCAAAAAGTATTAGTTTGTGATCAGAGATACCCAGATTGTGACCCTGGGCATGCACATTGTCAATACCAACCGTACAGAGCAGATCGAGAGTATGAGAGTGGGAATGTGTTGGGAAATCGATATGCTGAGATACTTCAAAATAATCCAGAACAGACAAAAAGTATTTTGCAGCAGTACAATCAGAATCAACATGCATGTTAAAATCACCAAGCATCATTATTCTATCATGCCGGGCAGAAGCGAGAGTGAGAAGTTCAGTCAGATCAGAACAGAAGTTTGGGTTGTTTCTAGGGGGTCTGTAAATCAGTAGAATCAGAAGCGGAGCGGGTCCAGCAAGTTGAAGTGAGAGACATTCAAAACTTGCAACATCGAGAATGTCATATTTAGTCACTTTGTAGTTGTTCTTAAAGATCACTGCCAGACCACCACTAAGTCGAGGTTTTGTGAAATAACTATATCCAGCAGGGGTTAGAAGGTTCAGTTCAATGAAGTCGTCAGATGTTTGCCAGGTTTCAGTCAGAAAGAGTAAATCCAGGTCTCTCTCAGATGTAACTTCATTCAGCAGTGTACCCTTGCCAGTCAGAGAATGAGTGTTAAAAAGTGCACAGTTGTATCGATGGGGAACATGCGACGAGTAGGTCACATCTTTGGTTAGGGCTATGAGAGTCCTAGCACGGTGGAGAGTCACATCGTTACCATGGTAACGCCCCGATCTCGGTGACAGTATCACAGGTATTGAGAGAGAGGGGTCATGGTTATAAAGCCATCTACGTTTAGCAGACCGATGGATATAACGTGTACGACGTGCAATTCCGAGAGTAGTACATAAGTCAAACGTGGAGGATTCCAGACGGGTTAGACTATTGAGGTTGTGCAGTTGCAATGAAGTATAGTTTAAATCCATTCCATGAATGAGAAGCAGAACAAGGCCAGCAAAGCCCAGGGCCAGCAGTCTCAGTGCCGGAGTTTTATAAATGGCAAAGTACATCTCTTTGCAATTTAAGACGGCACTCACAGAAAACCAAATGGCCACCCACGTTACTACAACACTACGTTAGCCAGAACCCGACTGATATTGAGTGAATCCACAAAACTAAACCAAGCAGCTCACCAAACAAGTTAAAACTTGCCTACCTGCTGCATTAGATGTTATGGGACTCACAGATATGCAGCGGTAGAGGGCTCGCGGGAATAGTAATGCGAGGCCAACACGTTAGCCAGACCAAAGAGGGCAGAACTACAATAAAAAACTACGCAATGAATAAGGGGAAACTTACCCACCGAGAGTGCAGAATGGTAAAGCCGAAACAGTGGACAGAGGGCTCGCGGGGAGTTCATAAAGTGAGATGCTGAGCAGAGATTAGCAGAGATTGTCCAAATTGTCCAGAGAGTGTCAGGGACTTCAGAAAATGTAACATCCATGCAACAGGTGCTTCGAACATCCAACACTGTTCCAGTAAGATTTTATGTCGCACGAAAGCACATCCGGAGCCAACAGCAGTATTTATCCCAAGTATATATCCAAGTTTCGTGACCCGGGAAAAAGAAAAAATCCAGATTCTCCGTTCAGCAGTGTCGCCCAGAAGCAGACAACATGAAGTTGAGGATGAAAAGAAGCAAACAAGTCCAGATTCTCCGTTCCAGTGTCCGCTTGCCAATGTCACCCAGAGGCAAGCAATACGATGTTAATAGAGAAAACGTGACAAACAAAGATTACAATTTACAAAAGTTTAACAATAACAAAACAAAACAACGGTTTGCGATGAGAAGCGGCAGCCATTTCGCGCACAGCGTACTCTGTCACATGACCAGGCATCCCTCAGCCAGTCAACTTCCAAAGTGCTATGACCCTTCCCAGTTTAATCTAACGGAGTACATATATGTAGGCATACTTCCCCAATAAGGTGTGAGTTTGGTCTTTTCTATCACTGTATTAGTCCATTATAAGCTACGTTAAGCGCTTTGTCCCGACGGAAGGGGAATTCCTGAGTATGATGAGGTATTGAGGGAAACCGATTATAATCCCGTTCATGGTAGAAAAAGCTGATAACATGTAAGGCTACACAGGGAAGTAACAATGAAGTTAATGAATGAAACATAAAAACAACTTTTGTGCCTTTATCATCTTTTCTGCATATATATACGGACCCAGATAATCATCACAAAAAACTTAAAGGGTAACTAAACCCCTGGTCAGAGCCTGACTCCCCCACTGGCAATATTTGAAAAATGCTGGAAAAGTGGGCAGAGCCCAGCGGAGATAGAGGGGACAAACTGAGACCGCAGTGAGGGATTGATTGACAGCTGCTGTCAAACTCGCTAAAATGGAGACCGACTGGAGTGACGCAAGTAGCTTTGCAACAGAGCGGTCATTTGAAGTATTTTCTTCCCCACCTTCATCTGATTTTTCTGCCTTTTAAGAGGGCCAAATCTGAGGTGTGTGGTCATATTTTGGCTTTTACAAAAGTCCTGGGGGAAACTTAATCGATGATGGTCACCCTGTCTGCAGAACATGCACAAAAAAGTCGCTGCAATACACTTCAAAATGTTGTTTTGAGTTGAAATATTTTATCTCACTCACTTGAAATAAACGTGAAGCTTCCACGAAGAAAAGTTCGCATTAATGTTTTAAATCTTACCTGTTTATAAATCCATTTTGTACAGCGTACAAAACAATCGTCCAGACAAGATGATCACAACAATATTATCAAACTCTGTAAACAATAAATTAACTCTGATTTTATTTTCAATACAATCATAAACGTAGACGCAAGACGGCAAATTGTATTTGAATGAACCAAGAGAGCGCGTCCGTTGTGATGCATGGATTTGCACTGTTTATAATGCGTTGCTATTGACGACGGTCAGAAGGAAATGCCACAGAATAGAATCTTGTCTTAAAAAGTGCATAGAGCTGCTTGTTTTATTTGTTGTTTGTTGATTTTCAAATATAAAACTATCCTGATCGTTTTCAATACTCGTAATTCCAACTCCTGACTCGCTACAGTAGTTTTGACGGAACCAGATGCTTTTATACCAGGGGCTGCCAAGGGCGTGGTGAGCTCGCACCAAGGGCGTGACAGAGTTACGTCAGAGAGTATCCTACGTCAGAGAGTACCCCTACTGCAGGAGCTTTCCGTTTAACCTGAAGAGGGCAGCACTCATACGTTTTTACACCATATATTTGAAAATTAAAACACTTTATACCCAAATGTCAAAAAATGTACTTGAATCAAAGAACAGCATTTATGAAGCTCCATTCTTACAGATCATTAACTAAAAAAAGTTGTTTCAGTGTTTAGTTACCCTTTAATGCATGCTCAATTGTTGTAAAATAGTTATGAATGAATGGCTTGCTCTAACTGTTGCTCTGGTCTTTGTCAACAACCCGCGCTTGCACCCCCTGCTTGTGAGGTCGACTAACAGCAGATGGAGATTATGCTCGGTAATCTACTGCTGTTCCTGCAGTTCCTGGATGTCAACGTTGAATTTACTGTCGAATTAGAACCACTGAATTTGTGGAAGCAAATTTGCAAAGCGAAATAAAATGAACTGAAAACCGCCTGTTGAATATAGGTTGCATTTTTAATCAGTTTGAATATTTTGAAAGTGAAATATGAAAGGTGAATATGGATTATTGAAATTTTACTAATGAAAATGTGTTTGAAATGTTTTGAATTTAAATATTCACAGCTTAAATATTCAACCATGCAAAATTTCAGCCCATAAAAATCCAAGCCCTAAAAAATACAATGCGTTAAAATACAAGCAGGGTTAATGCAATGCATATTTTTTTCAAGTAGTACAATTCAACAGGCTTTTTGTTTCAAAAACATTTGTCATTATTTTACTTCCATAGAGTTGTGCTTCGACATGGCACAGCGTGGATGAATCCAATGTTTGAGGAGAGTGTGAGGCTGTCAGTCGGTGTGGATACTGTCATTCAGAATCACAGATTATTCTTTTTGGAAGTATGACAAACATAATAATTTTCAACAGAAAATATCATCTGAACAAAGTAACATCCACTTTTGTTCTGACCAACTAAGGGAAAAAAATCATTGCAGTAAATCGCGCTGATTAAATCTAACAATCGCTTATCATATTACGTAAAACCGTGGAAATTATACTTTGTTCTCAAATTGTTCACGTTCAACATCAGCATTGCGTGACTACATTTAATGCCCTTCCGATATTTAACCTTGTTTTCGCATGGGCCCTGTTGCAGTCTCTTTTTTTTCTGTAGCCACTCCGAAGTCTTTTGCATTTTACAACAGATGAATCTCCAGTTGTCACTGGTGATTGTTGTTTGAACCTTTCTGGATCCGCAATCAAATTGATAAGTTTAATTATATCAAGTGCTGTAAGAAAAGGCTATAAATCTCCACCTCCAACATCCTCACACGCAATATAGCCTACTGGCCGAGACTCCTTTAAGTGTACAGATGTGACGTAATGACGCAAAGACATGCTCGAATTTCCTGCGGAAATCCACCAGTACCACTGGAATTAAAAACATTATTACAAGCTTACCGCTTTGAATCGAGCTAGGGCAAGCAGATAGTTTTGAACACTGGCTGGTTATGTATTTGCTCAAAAATTTATTTTGGATAATTTTTAACCCAAAAAGCCACGGACTGCAGCTTTAAAAAAAATGTAAATGAAATCAATATCAACTTGATAGGTAACGCAGAACCTATTGTATTGTTCATGTGTACTCTACAAACAAAACAATATATATATATATATATATATATATATATATATATATATATATATATATATATATATATACAAAAAAAAATTAATCATACCCTCAATAATAGCCCTAATATTGGGCTCTCAGTTGTCTATATACATATATATATTCTGTTATATATATATATATATCATAAACCAGTTATGTTTAAAGTGCAGATTAAAAATACAAGTGAGTAAAAGAGTGAAAAGGGAGTCCTACCCATCAATTAGTGGATATTTTGTCATTATATCCAGTGCTCTAGTGGTTTCGGATATTACTCCATGAAGAAGTGAGAGAAGGCTGCATATGAACCACTGTTTCCATGTGCCTCTGATGCCTGCTTCTTTATATATTAACATCCTATGGTGCTGATAATAAAAAGTCATAAACGATTTGCTACATTAAAAATAGTTCAGAATTTGCAAGCAAATGACATGCACAGTAACAAGTTTCAAACCTGTTCAAAAGAGCATGCATTTATAACAATTCAAAAAAGATATAGATAAAGGGGAGACCTGGGCTAGTTGTCACATAGGGAGTTTGTCACAAGTGCTATATTTCAGCTCGATTATAAAATCTATTTTTAAAGCTTTTTTTCAGGTTGCTCGTGCTAATTTCAAAAGTGTCCATTATTTCCATTGTTATATTTATTTATTTTCTTTTTAAAATAGTTGTATCGTTATGGAAACATAGCCTACTTTCAGACTCCTGAGATCTATAAACGTCAGACTCCTCCCCGGATCATATAATTACTACAATCAAAAATGACTCAACTTTCCCCAGCAAACACGCAGGCCAAATACACAATTACCCATTTACTATAAATCCATTAAAACCCCGATATAATAATAAAAACAATGATTAAAAAGGTGAGAGACAGGGCAAAATGTAATGTAAAATTCAATTACGAATTTTCATTTTATACAACTCACTGATAAAAATTTAACTTATGTTGGCCCGATGTCCTATGTGCTTTACATGTTTCACTAGCATTGAAACATGTTATGAAACATACAGCTTACAAAAACTAGATATAGCCTACTTTATGTCAAACCTTTGTGTCAAAATATTAGCCCCATATAGCCTAATGTAGTGCAATAACACGCCTCTGCTAAACGGTGAAGATGTTCCACGGGTCTGTAATCTTTAAGTTTAATTAAAAAGCAGTGAACGCTAAAAAGTGAAACGGCTCAGATCTCCCCTACTCCGTTATGTCAAACTGAATTAAACACGCCTGAAATGTCCATTCGTAAAATACACCATATTATAAATATCACTAGCTACTCACCGAGTCAGGAGGCTTGCTTAAATGTACTCATGGACGTGAAGAGATGTTAAATGCTCAGTGGTGTAATCTGTTTTTTTTTTTTTTTTTTGTGCGGAACTTGCACGTGTTTCGCTATATGCAGGGTTGCCAGGTTTGCGTAACAAAACCCGCCCAACCACGACCCAAACTAGTCCAATCGCGTTCCGGGGGTACCCCGGTAAACATTTAGTAAAAATCTTTGTGCTTTGGCCATTGTGCAATGTCGCCTATTCTAGCCTTATTTGGCAAAACAAATTAATTTAGTTATGGCTACAGGCAATGTAAAAAGTATAGCCTACAAAAACTGAAAAAATGTCATTACTGATCTCAGAAAACAAAGAATATATCGACAAATGTATGTACAATGTCGTAATAGGATACTAAACCGTTTGAGAGGAAATCTTCTGATTTATACCTAAAATTTAAAAATACAAATAAAATAAATAAATATTACAAACACACAAACACACACACACACACACACACACACCTGACACTTTCACTAACTTCCTTCTAATATATACATTTTTAATAATTTTTTATTCTTTGCTTTTATTGTTGGTTTTATTTTTTTTACACATTTGTTGTGATTATTTTATGATTATTTTTTAAAACTCGTTTAATGTAAATAACTTTGAATTACTACAATGCATGAAATGTGCAATACAAATAAACTTGCATTGTATAGGTGCCATCAATCAACTTGAACTCAATGGTTCATTCTTTTGATCTGCTCAGGAGAGCAATTTATATTTGTCAAGAGAGGCACAGAGAAATGCAGTCAGTGGCACATTCTTCTTAATTTGTTGGTTTCGAAACGTCTATAAATGGTCACTCGGGTAGTTATACCAGAGGAAACATTTATTCCTGGTGTGCCTGCAAAACAGTAAATGAATAACGGTTATGAGATAAAATTTAAAAATTAAAACAGAAAACAACGTCATATAAATTCTCACACCTGTGAGTCTGTCTGCAATTGAACATCAATCATATTAGGAGAGTGCAAAAATTCAACTGAAATGCCAGGCAGATTAGCGATTTGGGAACCTGTAAGAAGAAAAGGGGATATTTCATTAAATACCCAAAACAATCCTAAAATATTATTTAAGAGTGACTGCAAAGAAAAAGTCTAAGATTCTTTGAAGCAATGATCAAACTCTGTTAAAAAGCATAATAAAAAGCAAATGTGTCTATACTGTGTGTGTACATTAACAACCCATTGAGTCAGCAGTTAGGAGTTTAAAGCTGACTTAATGCATTTTGGAGGGTTCACTTTGAGTCTTCAGATAGGGCAATATGAGCAATTACTTTGAGAAGTGTATATTTTTTCAATGTGTAAAAAAACAATTATTAGCTGTACCATCAAAATGGAAGAGGTGACTTTGGTAATTGCTTGGAGCTCTATTTGTGTTTGCCACAGCAGCTGGGCCCAAACTGACTGACAATGATGCCACCTCCTGTTCATTTCTGGTATGACTGCCACTCATATTTACAGACATCCTACATGTGGGACATGACATATCCTGCTCTAGCCAGGAACGCAAGCACGACCGGAGAACACACACAGATACCAGTATCTTAGAGACCATGTAAAAAGGTTTCCTAGCAAATTGTCTATTTATTTCCAAATACTGAATACTTTATAGTCAACCATTCAACTTAGTGCTGCATGGGAGATTACATTCACATTCAGTACCCAGGGTGGATGAATAATAAACCCTTCTCTATCTGAATTGTGGTAGTTTTCATACTTGTGGAAAAGGTGCCCACAGGGCAGTTTGTATGCTGTGTACATCTTTTCCCAGCAAACAGCACATCTGTCATCATGAGATGCCAGCTCTTCCATTGTAGCCATAGAAAACCTGCCAAGAGATATTATGATTTAGGAGGACTGTCTTTTCTCACTTCATTACAGCAAATTACCAAAACAGAATGCACATACAACAGCTGTTACCTTACTTATGTACAAAAATAAACCAGCATACAGCATAATAATACATTACAGGGGAAAAACAGAGTTTGGGAAACTTCCCTGTCACATTAAGTAGAAATATTAACTATTATTCAAACCTTTTCACAGACTGTGACAACATTCCCACATTTAACATAATTCTAGCAATGTTTTTAATAATTACATTTTAAAAAATTTATGTACATTTATATATACTTTTGAGTTAATACCTTGGCACCAAATTACAAAAAGAAAAAAGAAGTAAAAATAAAATAAAATACCAAATGGGAACACAAAAATCCTATTTTCTGTAGTGTCCGGTTCACCACTATAGACATTTAACTAACTATGTTGCCAAGCTTAAAAGTCCCATAACACCTACTTCATGTCCATAACATCATAAATATGCAGGTAGTTTTTGTGTTGAAGTAACTTGTGTTGCATTTCCTGAGACAAGAACCGTAAGTCTGTCAATATAATCAAATCAGCCACAGAGAACCAAATATTCCCATAGAGCTGGAAAAGGCAAAAGACAAGAAAATATGCGAATGATTCTTATTTAATAGTAGCCTAATAATAATCATAAAAAAACTGTTTAAATGGTTTGTTAAATTAATTGTTTTTAACATAAAAGTGAAGAAAAAAAAACAAGATGATTGTCTCACCAGAATGTGGATATGATGCATCATATCTAGGAAAAGAATACCCATCTCCATGACAAAGTCTGTGTAATAAATACAGACCTCTTTATCTTCCCAGAAATCTTCACAGATCAGGTCATACAGGTGAATTGTGTACCTGAACAAAATGAGATTTCAATTAGCAGGCACACAGCCTAAAGAACATATAAGGATATATCTCCTATAAATGCATATAACAAGACAGAATTCAAAATCACGTCTTATGGGTCTATATTTACCAGAGGTGTAAAGTACTTGAGTAATTCTCCACTATTACACTTAAGTATTATTTTGGGGAATTTGTACTTGAGTTCTGATAAAACCTGAATACTTTTTTTTTTTTTACCAATTATTCTTTATCCTAATGTGACTAATAAGCCAAACATCATTAACTTTCCTTTAATTTAAACAGCCAATAATTTTGTTATAAATAAATGAGTAAATGCTGATAAAGCAGCATTTTTTATTTTCAGAAGAATAGTGCACCAAAAAATAAATGTCATAATTTTCCCACCATCATTATATAAAAACCTGACAGTGGATCACAATAGGAAAAATTCTGAAGAAGGTTCATGCTTTTCCTGACCACCATGTAAATGAAGTTCACATGTCTGTGTGTACATATGTGTATGTGAAATATATATACAAGCACTGGCCACTTTATTAGGTACACCTTGCTAATACCGGTTGGATTCACTTTTGCCTTCTGAACTGCCTTAATTCTTTGTGCCATAGATTCAACAAGGTACTGAAAACATTCCTCAGAGATTTTGGTCCATATTGACATGATAGCATCACGTAGATGCTGTAGTTCTCTTACGAGAGGTTCGTGGCTAGAGTGTATATTAGAGCGGTCCAAAGGCTGCCTCCCTGATTTTCATCTCTTCAGCGAAGCTCTTTGCATCTGATCCACAGAGGCCACGTCACCGTCTGAGGGGCATTTTAGCGAGCTTGGACAGCGCTTGAAGAAGCCGGCCGCCTTCGCCACCTTCAGCCATCCGGCAAGCTACGCCATCCGGTGACGTATCCTTTTTAGAGCTAAGCTAGTTCCTCAGGGAACTTCACAAAAGAGCACGAGCGTCTTTTTAAAGATGCCTCGCACCAACTGCGGCTCATGCCGCGCCCCTCTCAGCGCCGGAGACCGCCATCTCATCTGCGTTCTCTGCCTGGGACTGGAACCCTGCGGGCTCGACTCGAAGCATTTAAAACCGAAGCCGCCGCGCCGCCTTTCGTCTCGCCGCGCAAGAAAAAGCGCCGCTCCCAAAGGCCGCCGGAACCGATGATAGAAGCGACCGTCTCGCCGGAGCCTCTCCCTCGAGCCTCGCCTTCACCCCCCCCGCCCTCCCCGGAAGCGCAGTTGCCGCCAAGCGGCCGCACTGCTGCCATTTCGGATGACGAAGCGGAGGTGAAAGACTGCTGTTCCGTCTTGGCTTCGGACAGCGAGGAGTGGTCAGGCTCTCTCGCCTCCTCCTCGGCCCGCGAATCCAGCAGGACCCGCGCCGGAGTCGAAGAGGAATTAATGCGCCTCCTCACACAGGCCGTCGACCGCCTCGGGCTCGAGTGGTCACCGCCCCCTGAGCAGGCCCCCAACAGACTCGACGGCTGTTTTCTACAGAGCCGTCGCCACGCGGCGCCCGCGGCCCGGGCCGCTCCCTTCCTGCCGGAACTCCACGCCGAGCTCACTAAGTCGTGGAGCGCGCCTCTCTCGGCCAGGACCCGCTCCCATGTCTCCACCTCTCTCTCTTCGGTGGATGGCGCCGCCGAGAAGGGTTATTCTTCCATCCCTCCGGTCGTAGATTCGGTCGCAGCGCACCTTTGCCTGCTCTCCGCGAGATGGCGGTCTAAGCCTACGCTCCCGTCTAAGGCCTGCAGAACCACTTCCGCTTGTGTTGGCCGCGCTTATGCCGCCGCCGGCCAAGCCCCATCCGCTCTGCATTCCATGGCCGTCCTACAGATCCTCCAAGCGGATCTGCTTCGAGAGTGGGATGAGAAAGACAGGCACTCAGAGGCTGTATCAGACTTAAGGAGCGCGACGGACCTTTCTCTTCGCGCCACGAAAGCTGCAGCCCAAGCCCTGGGAAAGTGCATGGCCTCGCTAACGGTAACCGAGAGACATCTATGGCTAACGCTTGCCGACATGGGGGAAACTGAATGCGCCACGTTCCTCAACGCGCCGCTCTCTTCTTCCGGTCTCTTCGGGCCCGCAGTGAGTGGCATTTTTGACCGTTTCTCGGAAGTCCAAAAAGCCACCCAGGCCATGAACCTTTTCCTGCCTCGTCGCGCTAGCTCCTCTGCAGGCCGCCCACGTGACCGGCCTCCTGCACGAGACTCTGCACAGCGCCCAGCTCAGCACAGCCAGACCTTTCAGCGTCGACAGGGTGGCCGCCCTAGATCGCGCTCAGACAGCCGCCACAGACCGCCGCCCCCCCGCGGGCCTCGGCCTCGGATCACGCTGAAACCTGAGAAGCCGAAGTCCTCCTAGCTGCGCTGAGAAAACGACGGCTCAGTCCCGCCGCGGCCGGACCGCCGTCAAAGCTTCGCCCCCTGTCAGTCCCCTTATCTCAGGCTACTGCAGTGGTGTATACAGCAGCCAACAAGCTGGTGACGCTACCCGCTTGCCTGCACCCAAACGCCGTTTTTACGGCGACCCAGAGAAATCTCTTAAAAGAGCAAACGTGCCTTGTGTGTAGAAAATGTGCCCACAACCCAGTGTTCGCCCCTACACACAAGCATTACACTACCCGTGTCCCTGTCAGAGCCCACTCACATAAAGCGGGCACAGCCCGCTCGAGTGTTAGAGTCAATAAACTCGCCCACGAGCCCGTGTGCGCGCCCCCTCTCTGCCCGCTCTGTCACACGGCCAGCCATCACCTCTCTGTATACAAGTCCCGTGCCCGTGACAATGCTCGCGCATCTCTTAACAGATGTGACTCTTTCCCCATTCACCTCAATCGGGAAGTCACTCACAGAACAGCCTGTTCCTGCTGTTTGCGAGCCGTCATGCATAAGCACAGTAAGCGCGCTCACACATTCTGTCCAGCTCGCTGTGCGCGGCAATCAGGGCGATTTGGCCATTCACCCTCTAGCGTTACGCTTCAAAGCGTGGGAAGCTATTCCAGGGATACCCAAATGGGTGTTAAGCACGATAAAACAAGGTTATTTGCTACAATTCGATCGCCGCCCTCCCCGCTTCCGAGCGCGGCTCGAAACGACTGTGAACGCAGCAGCAGCCTGCATGCTTCGTTCAGAAATAGCAAACCTTCTGTGCAAAAGGGCCATAGAGAGAGTGCCGCCTTGTCTGAGCGAGTCAGGGTTTTACAGCCGTTATTTTCTTGTTCCCAAGAAAGACGGCGGCCTCAGACCGATTTTGGATCTCAGATTTTTTAACAGGGTGCTCGTGAAGAGACCGTTCAAAATGCTTACAGTCAGGAAACTCCTCGCGCACGTGCACCAGGGGGACTGGTTTATATCTCTCGATCTGAAAGATGCTTATTTTCAGATTCAGATAAATCCCCGTCATAGGCCATTCTTGAGATTCGCCTTCGACGGTCAGGTTTATCAATACACCGTCCTGCCGTTCGGCCTGTCCCTAGCACCCCGTGTTTTTACGAAGTGTATGGACGCGGCGCTCGCACCCCTGCGGAGCCAGGGCTTGCGAATACTGAACTATTTGGACGATTGGCTGATTTTGGCACAATCACAGATGGAGCTACTGTCTCACAGGACAGTTCTCCTCAGTCATCTGAACAGCCTGGGTCTCACAATCAATTGGACCAAGAGCTCACTTCAGCCCAGTCGAGCGATTTCCTTCCTTGGAATAGAGCTAGACTCCGTGGCTATGTCGGCTCGCTTATCAACACAGGGCGCGCGCCGTGTTCAGCGACTAGCCGCATCTTTTCAGATGAACAACCTCACGCCTCTGAAACTATTTCAGAAGATGCTAGGTTACATGGCCTCAGCCTCAGCAGTACTCCAGCTGGGTTTACTGCGCATGCGCCCGCTTCAACATTGGCTAAACACCCGCGCGTTTCGCCGGGCTTGGGCCACAGGCCGCCAGCTAATCAGAGTGACTCAGACCTGTATCTCAGCTCTGCAGCCCTGGACAGTGGCCGAATGGTACCAGCAGGGAGTGACGATGGGAGCTGTGTCCCGCCGAAAAGTCATCTCGACAGACGCGTCCAACACGGCTTGGGGTGCGGTCTGCGAGGGCTCACCGGTGTTTGGCCTATGGTCAGTACAGGAAAAGCTCCTTCACATAAATTGTCTGGAAATGATAGCGGTCGAGTACGCGCTCGTGGAAGACTCTACGCGTCCAAATGGTCTGTGTTATTGAAATGGTGCACCGACAGAGATCTGGACCCACGGACATGTGGGGTTTCGCCGCTGCTCGTGTTTTTACAAGAGCTATTGGATAAGGGCAGGTCCCCATCCACGCTCAAAGTATACGTGGCGGCCGTCGCGGCGTTCACTGAACCCCTGCACGGCCAGTCACTGGGAAAAAACGAGCTGGTCATCCATTTCCTCAGGGGAGCTAGAAGGATGAACCCCCCGCGCCCCCCATCGGTTCCTATTTGGGATCTTTCTATAGTTCTCGAAGCTATGAAAGCCCCTCCTTTCGAACCGCTTCAATCCGTGGATGTGAAATACCTTTCACTCAAAACCGTTTTTCTGACTGCCTTGTCATCAGTTAAACGTGTGGGAGACCTTCATGCGCTGTCTGTCAGCACTGCGTGTCTTGAGTTTGGACCAAATGACTCCAAGGTCATTTTGAAACCTAGAAACTATGAAACTATGTCCCCAAAGTGATCGGTACCCCGTTCAGAGCGCAAATCCGATAGCGAATGTGACGCCAATCTCCTCTGCCCTGTGAGAGCACTGAGATTGTATACTGCGCGCTCTGCCTCTTTCAGACGCACTGAGCAGCTTTTCGTTCGGGGGGGCGCACCAAGGGTCTCGCCGCCTCGAAACAGACACTGTCTAGATCAGTGGTCTCAAACTCGCGGGTGATATTTTGTGGCCCCCTACTTGACATTAAAGTTTAATGTTAGTGCGGCCCGTCGTTGCGTGTGCCGCGTTTAAAAAAAATATATATATATTTTTTATCCCTTATGGGCTACCATAGATAGTCTCATGACAGCTTACGGTGGGTTTGTTGTCAATAGTTGTCATAGACAACCGCGAAGTACAAACTTACTGCGCCTGGAAAAAATGAGCGCGTCGCTTATGAGCGCGCCTGGCGCGTGCCTACATTTGAAATAACGAACTTGAGCAAGCAAAATATGTGAGCGCGATATGTGAACATGCCACGAGCTACTGGTAGCTCGCGAGCACCGTGTTGGAGACCCCTGCTCTAAAACAATGTGAGAATAATCATTTTGAGCTTGTAATATGTGTCCAGCAGGTTGATAAGAAGGTTTGCTTTGATTTGTGCAAAGTCAGTAATTTGCCTGAGACACTATACATGTGTAGAAATAATTAAATAAGGCTGAATTCACATTTAGCGCCCAAAAACGCGTAGAAAACGCTAGGCGCGCCGCGTTCTCCTTTTTCCAAAGCGCTAGGGCGGTCGCGTTCCGTAGGCGTCTGTCGTTGCTAAGCTACGGTGCACTTGCATCATTCTGAAAAGTTGAGATGTTTTTATCTCGATGCGGCGCGCACGCGCTTGGAAAAAACGAGCGTGTCGCACCACGACCGCGTCGCTTCCATTATGAGCGCGCATACCGCGCACCTACATTTGAAATAACGAACTTGAGCGCGCAAAAGACGCGATATGTGAACAGGCCCTAAGACGGGCAGACATGACTGCAAATATTTGTATTTCAAAAGCAATAATCGTTTTTCTAAGTATAATAAAAGGAAATGTGCCTTCCAAAAAAAACATTCAATATCATTAATGTGTTGTATAAAGAAAAAAAAGGACATAAGCAAATATAAGTATCACAAATATGTGTTATAAGGAAAAGAAAAAGAATGTTTGTAAAATGAAGTATCACAAAGA